TGCACTTCTGAAAACATAAGATTATATTATATCTAATTCATAACTGGTTCCCAGTCTTTAGAACATTTTCCAATATTTATCCAAAGGATTATAATTGAATTTGATTAATTTCATAATCAATTAATCAACAAGTATTTATTAACCACCTACTATGGTGCAGACACTATGCTTGGTGCTGAGGATACAAAGACAAAATTGAAACAATCCCTGCCCTGAAGGACCTTACATTTTAATGAAGAAGACCATATGAATACATACATACATATATGTGCATATGTAGGTGTATATGTGTGCATTTATGTATTTTTGTGTAAAAGGTACATGTTTATATATGTATATGGTTATTATATATATGTATATATAATACAAACAAAGCAAATACAATTTAACCTTTGGAGGGAGATGAAGAAGAATATGGAGAGAGAGAGAAAAAAGGCCTCATACGAAAGGTAGAGCTTGGGCTGAATCTTAAAGGAAGTCAGGAATTCTAAGAGAAAAGAGAAGGGAGATGATTCCATGTATAGGATCAACAAGTGCAAAAGCACAAAGACTGGAGAGAACGTGCAGTAGATGATGACAAAAAGAATACCAGTAAGACTGGATTGTAAAGCTCATGGTGGGGAATATTGTATCACAAGCCTTGAAAGGTAGATGAGACACAGGCTGTAAAGAGTTTCAAATGTCTTGTTTGATTTCAGAGGCATCGCAAATCATTGGAGTCTATCAAGTAGGGAGATGAAATGCTCACACCTCAGCTTTAAGAAAACCATTTTGACAGTTATGTAGAGGATGCACTGAGGAGAAGAAAGTCTGTGCTGAATAATTAGGCAGAATATTTAGGAGGTTATTGTGCTAATCCAGCAAGAGGTGATAAGAGCATGAAATAGGGTGGTTCCTGTGTGAGTAGAGAAGGGGACATATGTGAAAGATATACTGGAGAAAGAATTTATAAGATTTAAAAAGCATGTAGTAGAGTGAGAGAGAATGAGGAATAAAGGAAGATAACAAGGTCAAGACCCTGAACAATTGGAAGAATGGTTTCCTCAGCAGAAACAGGGAAGTTCAGAGGAGGGTGGGTTTGTGTGTAAATATATTTAATTCTGATTTAGACATTTGAGTTTGAGATACCTATAGGACATCTGATTCAAAAGGGCCAATAGGTAGGTTATAATATGAAACTAGAGATTAGGAGAAACACTTGGGCTGTATATATGGATCTGGAAATCATCTGTTTAGAGACAATAATTGAATTTATAGGAGCTTATGAGGTCCCTAAATGAGGGAGAAAAATAAGGCAACCCAAGACAGGCCTTTTGGGTATACCCACACTTATTTGGATGTGACATAGATGATGAACCAGCAAAGGAAACTGAGGAATGGTTAGACAGTTTTGAAGAAAACCAGGAGAAATCAAAATCACAAAAACCTCAAGAGGAGAGAATAAGAGGAGATAGTAGTAAAGAGTGTCAAAGGCCATAGAGGTCGAGTAGATTAAGGAAAGTTCATTAAATTTGGCAATTAAGATATCACTGTGAACTTCAGCAGATAGGTGAGCCTTAACTTCATCTTGTCTGAAGGCAGATATCTATATCACTTTTCAGCCCTCAAGCTATGAACTCATAGCTTGAGCCATTATTCCCATACCTTTCTCTTATACTTTATCTTTGAGAAGTTGGGCTCTGATAGGTTTTTGTCTCATCTTGCCCTGAACACAGCATCCATACCACTTCTCAGGTATTTCCCAATTATGCTACAACTTTTTTTTTATTATTTTTTGGCTAGGCAATGGGGTTAAGTGACTTGCCCGGGGTCACACAGTTAGTAAGTGTTAAGTGCCCAAGGCCAGATTTGAACTCAAATCCGCCTGACTCCAGGGCCCATGCTGTATTCACTTCACTGCTAGCTGCTTCCATACTACCACTTTTATACCATGGCCACCAACCCCCATCATATCTCGCTCCCTTCTATATGGTATATTTCTCCATTAGAATGTATGCTTTTTGAGTGCAGAGACTGCCTTGTTTGCTTGTATTTATATCTTCAGCACTTAACATAGTGCCTGGCTCATAATAAATGTTTAAAAATTATCTATATCTATCTATCTGATTGTCTGTCTGAAGTAGATCTTAACTTTTTATGTTATAGATTGCTTTGTCAATTACTAGCATAAGTAGGCATAGACCCCAAAGGGATCAAAGTCAGAGGAGGACAGACCCATAGGTACAAAAATATTTATAGTAGTACTTTTTGCTGTAGCAATAAACTGAAGATAAAGTAGATATCTCTCAACTGGGAAAGGCTGAAAAAAAATAAGTATATATAGCGGAATGCTGTGAGAGATTATGAATATGACAGATTCAGAGAAACCTGGGAATACTTGTATAAACTAATTCAGATGGAGGTAAATAGATCCTCAACATTGTATGAGGAATACATTTTCCAAAGACTTTAAAACTGATCACTGCAGTAAGATAGTGCACTAGAGATACAGAATGAGATATCTTTCTAAACATAGACAATTTGTCATTTTTTTTTTTGCTTGAGCATACTTATTTTTTATAAGGGAAAGTTTCTATTGAGAGAGAGAGGGGGTGTTGGTGGGTAGGGGAAGGAAAGTGAATAAACATAGAGCCTGCTGATATCCCTAGGGTACCTCCTTCCCTTTGATTGGAGATAGTGAAGGGTGGACATTGAAGAGCTGTTCCCGATCTCTACCATTTTAGGAGGGCACTATACCATTTCTCACACAGTTTTCTTCCTGGATTTCACGGTCTTCAGAAACTCACAATAGTGCAATATGAAATCAATTCTGCAACTCACACTTCCTCAGATCATTTCCTATACCTGCCACAGGACTTTATCACAACTTCATGATAGGTACCCCATCCTTTTAAGCTTCTTTTTGTGTGTCTTCTCCCACTATATTGAGATCACCTTGAAATCAAGGATTATTTTATGCCCTATTTTATACATCCCCAACACTTAGCACATTGCCTGGCACATACTAGGAGCTTAATAAATGTTTATTGATTGACAACTGAAAACCACAAGCCAGACACTCTGCTAAGCATTTTACAAATATTATCTCACTTCACCCTCATAACAACTGTGTGAGGTAGGTGTTGTAATTATTCTCATTTTACAATTGAGAAAACTGAAGCAAATAGGAGTTAAGGGTCATAAAGCTAGTAAATGGCTGAGGTTGGATTTGAACTCAGATGTTCCTGAGTCCAGGTCCAGCCCTTTAATCACTGCACCATCTAGTTGCCTCTGGTAGGGAATAGGGACAGTAATGGGAAAAGGAAGAAAGAAAAAAAGTATTTATAAAACATTTAAAATATGCAAAATAAAATACAATGAAGTTTAGCAGGGGGCACAGGCAAGGAAGGCAGTTTTATTACTATTGTTAAATTTAATATAAACTTGAAAACAAAGCTTACATAAAAGAAATTTTATATGCAATCTCCTTAATTGTTCTTTTTATAGAAATGTTCATGGTTTTTTATGTTTAAATTCATATGAAAAAATTTTAAGAGAGAGATTATTGATAACTTTGGAAAGAGTAGTTTAAGTTGAATAATGAAGTCAAGAGACAGAGAGCAAAGGGTTTAGAAGAGAGTAGTGAGAGGAATCAGACATAATGAGTATAAACTGTTTTTATAAGGAATTTGGCTAAGGAAAGGAGAAGAGACATAGAGTAATAGTTAATAGAAATAAGATTAAGTTGTTTTGTTTTGTTGTTGTTTTTTTAAGGATAGGAGTTGGGTAACTTGAACATGTTTGTAAACATCAAAGAAACCAGTAGACAGGTAGAAAATGAAGACTATGGAGAAAGGGGGTTTGAGTGTAAACCAAATCTTCTGAAGAAGGCTGGAAGAAAAGGGCTCTCTGTGGAAAATGGGATAAAGGATCAATCAGAGAGGAGTAAAGGGAATTCTTGGCTTTTGTGAAAGCCTATCTGAGATTAAATAAATTTGAAGTATATCCAGTCAGCCCAGTTCTTCCAGTTCCATTCACTATCATATTGAGAAGGCAGATGTCAATATAGTAATCCAACACTGTAGTTTGGTGAGGCACAAATGGTAACTTTAAAACAAGGAAGCAAGGGATATAAAAGTAGAGGATAATGTGGCATGGAATAAGCTCATTGTGGGGTATGATTAGGAAGAAAAGAGAATGTAGGCAAGATAAAGCTGATGGGTATTCTGTTCTGGGAAAGTACCTAGGGATGGATAAATCAAAGGATACAATAAAGACATAAAATAGGTTTAGGAGTAGTAAAGTATAGGCAGAGATTGAAGGCTAAGAGATTAGTAGCAGGTAAAAGAACTCTAAAATTCTTGATAACGGAAATGGGGAACTTTTGAATAATGGCAAGATCAAGGATGTTATGTCCTTCTATATAGCTAAGGTGAAGTAGAGAAGTGGGACATGGAAGCTGAGTCATGTGAGTTGAGTATATTGAGGAACACATCATCATGTAAGCCAAGGTCTCGAAGTTAGGGTGGAGAGTGAGACTATGAGCCAGGCTAAATTCTTTGAAAAAGAAGGAAGAACGTCCTGGATGCTGGTGTATTACAGCTACCAGGATCTGAATTGAATGGTAAATATGAATAAAAGTGAAATTGCTAGTTATAGTGTTAGAGAGAGAGTCCAGACTTGGGAAAGAGAGCATTCAACTACACCTCTAAGACCAGTTCTTTGGTGGCAGAGGGAGAAAGGATAGATATGATATGTAAGAAAACGCAACTAATATTAAAAAGGATGGCCAGGAATTCAGTAGTATCCAGTGGGTAGTCAGGTCTCTGTGAGTGCCAAAATATTGAGAGAGCATGAAAGGAAGATGCCTAAAATGGAATAAAATAAAACATTTCCCCCCAAAATTCAAATCAGATATTCATCCTTTAATGAGTTACATTTTTTAAACTAAAACAAATGCAACAAAACCTGTTTGTAAATAATTCAGTAAATCTAAAGAGAAGCCTAATAATGATACTTACAAAATCAAAAATTAGATGTAGAGCTTCTGACACGGAGTGAATTTTTCATCCCGCTTTGCTCTCCACCAACACTGCAAAGTAAGTTACAGAAAGAAAATTAGTACCTTGTTTGGGATTCTATACATTCTTAGCATTCCATAATCTCTCACAGATAAAAGGTGAGATATAAGCAGCTGTTAAGGGCTAGATGTTGGAACAATTATACAAGAAGAAAGAACAACAACAACTGGATTCATATATAATACAGTGAAGACTTAGAAGAAGCTTTATCAAAAATTAAGGGGCTAAAAACTCGTTCAGCTATCCATCTCCTTAATCCAGTGATATCACTACAAGGTCAACTTCCTACAGAGATCAAATAAATAGAAAAGGACCTATCAGGAAATATAGACAGATAGATAGATAGATAGATAGATAGATAGATAGTTAGATATAGATATACTATAAAATATAATGTGAGTATATATGTAGTGTGTATATATGTATATGTGTGTGTATTTAAATACATATGTATGTATCAGTTCTTTGAGGATAGCAAGGAACTTCAAAACTAAGGGAGTACCCATTATTTGGGAAATGGCTAAACAAATCATGATAAGTGAATGTGCCAAAAGAGAGGTAAAAAGAAAGAAAAAAAGTAATGCTTCTGAATAAGCACACTAAGAAGAAACAAGAGGCTTACAAAAGGGCTTAAAAATCAAAAAGTCATTTATTATACAGATATTTTCTGCCTAACAAACCAAGTATATCTGAAACATTATTAATTCTTTTAGGGCAGTGGTTCTTAAGTCTTTTTTTTTTTTTTTGTCATAGACTCCTCTGACCGTCTGATGAAACCCATGAATCCCTTCTCTTGTTGTTGTTTTCTTTTTTGACTTATAATTGAAGGAAATGCTAAATTTCAATTAGAGGATAGTGAAAATAAAGATGTATTTTTCCAATTCAAGTTCACAGAATTCCTGAAACCTATCCATGGACATGTTAAGAACCCTTGCTCTAGGGGCATTCCACTGTAAAAATATCTCCTCCTTCATCTCATTTTGATTTCAATGCTAGTTTGAATATTAATATTTAAAGACATCTTATTTTCAATTAAGTGTGTGTTTATATTATGATGATAATTAATTCAATGCTTTGAACTGCTTTATCATAATTCGGACAAAAAAAAGACAGAAAAACACTTCAGTGATATGGTGACACTTTGAAAAAATGAAATCAAATCCTAAGGTAACAGACCAAACCCAAAAGATTCTGACCTGCTAGGAAAACCTCTGTCCCAAAGTCCACTCACATTCCTCTGTGACAGGGGAATGGAGCTGACCTCAGGCCAGAACTATTCAACCTAGAGTAAGTAATATGGAAAAATGGTGTCTTGGTACTCAATTCAAACGATTTTGTAGTCTGACACAGAGAACATAGTAATGGTTTGTTTGTTTGTCTAGGCTTTAGTAAAGAACATAAAGATCAGTCAGCAATCTTTAGGTGGCTCTACACACACATGGCTCCTCCACTTGAACATGGCTGCTCCATGTAGTTCCCCTACTAAATCATTCCCATTCCCTGGGGTCAGTGGCAGCAGACTGCCCCATGCAGGCTGGGACTAATTTGGTTAGTCAAAGGACCAGTCTTTTGAATATTGCTGTTGTTCATCCTTTGTTTTCAGAGAGCTCCAATGAAATCACTATGTGATGAGTAATGTCTTGACTTGTGAGTGAATTGGGTTTAAGTGAGGCAGAGTTGCACAAAGTCATCAGACTCATTCTTTCTTCCAGAGTTATCACAATCCAAAAGTCAAGACCTGGGACTCAGTAGATGACCTTAGCATTTTTGAAGTCTGACCAAGCTCTTAAGAGCTCCACAGCACCTGCCTCAGCTGCCTTCATGGCCATTGGAACAAATTGCTTTCATCTGCTCATTCCCCAGGTTAAATCTTGACATGCCCCAACCCATGGATTTGAGGCCTGAGGTTACACTCAAACTAGGTTAGCCCACCTGCCAAGATAGTTTTACCAGGTGTGGCTGCTGAGCATTCTATAGCTTCTTGGAGATATAGGTGAGAGCTGGGTGAAAGGTAGACATGAAAGGTAAATAAGCAGCCCTGAAAAAGGCTTGGTAAACCCTGACACCAGAGGTGCTAATCCTCCCTGAGCACCCTATACACCCTAATCTTCTGAATATAGGATTGAGAAAGAGGCTTAAATAGGATCTCTAGGCAAAGAATTATCTACAGAACAGAGCTGGCTTGAGCTCATCCCAATCCAGATGGTGTTTACCGCAAACAGTGTTTTTTTCCCTCTGTAGAGTCAAGTACCAGACATATTTCCAGAGTTAGGCAGATAACATGAAAACCCCAGAAAGTTGTAATGTTTATCTGTGAATACTTCCAAAATAGAATTTCTAGATTAACATCAATATAAGCAATGTTCATTTAGTTTACCTCTCTCACATAGGATGTCTTTGCACCAATTAACTTTTGTTTAGTTTGTCTTTTCTTCTCTAAGCTTCAATCCTCACCTTTCATTCATATGATATACCACTTATTCATTGTAATACATTCCATATCGAGCACCAAAGTGACAAATTAATAATACAAAACTGCAGATCTTAAAAGTCTACCAGGTATTTTCAGATTTGGAATCAGATTCCTACTTTTTTTTTAAACTTCCCAAGTCCTCCTAACCCATGAGAAGAGCTGCCTTCTGCAAGTCCTATTTTGGGTTACTAGTGTCCATGAAATTAAGCTTGAAAGTCATTAAAAGTGTCCCCCTTTATCTGGAGATTGTCTCATAGTAAGGGAGGGGCATTATTTCACTTAGATGACATTCGCCAGCTTAGACAAATAGAAAATAACAATAGTTAAGTAAATCAATTTAACCAAGAACAACAAAAAACAAATTAGAAAAGATCTGCAGATAAGAATATAACAATATATAATTTCCTGGCTGCTTTTACATGGAGTTAGGCACCAGCAAGTTGGCTAAGACTTAAGGATATAGACTCTAAATTTCAAAAAATAACTTTTTAGGAAAAAGAAGCAGAAAATAAGATAGATAATACCTGACACGGTTTCACTGTAGGCAAGTCACTTTGGGTTTTGTTTTGTTTTGTTTTTTAATTTCTCATGATTCTGTAAAGTAGGCACTATAAGCTACAGGTGAGGAAACTCAAGGCAAAGAGAAGAAACCTACGTGGTTCTGACAAGCATCAGACACAGAATCTAGGTCTCTTATGAACTGAAGTCCACCCATTTCATTATATCACACTGCCTCATTATTTTAATCTCTGCTGATATCAATTTGATGATTGAAAGATCAGATTTAATGCCGAAAGAGACCATATAGTTCAACCCCTTCATTTGATAATTTAGAGAGACGTAGTGAAGTGACTTCCCTAATGAAAACATTACAGGACTCCAAGATTACAATGTCTGACAGCTGAGAAAAACAAGCCAACCAAGGTCTCAAGGCCAAAATCTATCACAGACAGGACATTCTTGAAGTTCATTTCTTTCTTCTTTCTTTTTTCTTTTTGGTTTTCAGAGATTCAATTCAAATAAAGTGATAAAGCCAAGCTTTATAGTGTTTTCAAATCTTAAGATTGCTTACTTTCTAATTTCAAAGTTATAACTTAATTGCTCTGGAGCTACTTCCATTCGGAGGTCAGATTGAGCAAAAAAAAGCAGAGCAACAAAATTTGATGAACTGTAAAACCAACAAGAAAGAGAAAGTGGTAGGCACTGAATGTGCTTCAAATCATTTCCATTCTTGATCCCTAATTTAGAAAATCTGTTCAGGAAAAAAAAAACATCAAAGCCAATTTCTCTTCCATTATATTTTGCTAAAAATTCATTTTGCTAGTATATTTGCTAGCAAATTCATAATCAAAAAGATGATGACTGAATCTTTGAGTCCCTGTGTGTAAGGAAAATTTTTACCCACATTTATAAATTTGTCCTTCCTTCAGTGTGTGCTATTTGTATGGTGGTGGGGATGAGGGTGATAACATAAAGATGTGGCTTTTCAGGCACATCTAAAAACCCACCCTTCCTTTCAAAAGAGTAGGAAGAAGACTATTTCTGTATTGCCAAAAGCCTAGTTGGAAAAAAGGAAGATCAAGATCACAAAGGTTGGACAATCTTTCCTATTTCTAAGATTTCTGAATAAACTTATACCTCTCTGTCACCCCTCAACATATTTCTGTTTTAAGAGTATTAATGGTTCAGAAGGAAGGCCTTTGTCTTGAGTGCTCTTAAGGGGAAGGGTAATACTTAGATTACATTCACCAGCTTAGCCCCTTCCTATCAAAGGTTACACAAAAGACTATCACAAATAGAAAATAACAATAGTTAAGTAAATAAATTTAGCCAAGAACAACAAAAAACAAATTAGACAAGATCTGCAGATTAGAATAAAACAAAAAATTCATACGAGTGAATAAAGCCTTCATCTATGAGTAAGATAAGATCACAGTTCAAGCTAGGAGAGAAAGAATGATCTCATCCAGGGGAGATTCACTCCCAGTAGTCTCTAGAGTTTCAGGCCTTGGAGCTCAAGGAACAGAATGGGACTGGCTTCCCATTCACATACTCATACATCAGAGCTTCAGTCTGTTGTTCAAGTTTAACCACACAAAAATCTCTCTACTGACTGCGTGGAGATTCTCTTTCCATGTCTTTCTTCCCAGGTGTTTTTTGCAGTCACTCAAATAAGTCCTTAATAGCATGTAAGTAGTAGTAACTCTTTATTCTCATAGTAAGGAGTCATATCTCCTACTGTAACTGTCTGGGCTGTCTTCAAAATATTTACTAAGGGTACATTGCAAATGCAACTAATTGGAGAAGTATTTTTTTCTTCTTCCTAGACTGGCCAGGCTGGAGAAATGGAAAAAAAAATACCATACTCAAATCTGATTTTAATCCTAATCATATTACTTGGAAATTCTTTGCTGAAAGACTTTTCTTTTTATTTCCTGATTCCATTTTTAGTACTTTCTTTTAATGCCATATATAAATAACAAAAATGAACTAACAAGTACATGTGCTATGAGGCATGATCATACAAATAAAGTTGGGAGG